TTTTTCTTCTATTTTACTATTGATAATCTTCATAGTTTTTTTTTCACTTCTCCTATAAGTTTATTATGTTTGTATCGTTATGTTATTCAGGTTGCATTATAGTTTTTTATGCATTATGTCATGAAGATTTGAAAAGAAGTCTTCAAGTTCAATATTTGATTTTTTGGTTGCAATATAAGGTAAAATATTTATACTGATTTGTTTCATTATTTTAATTGCATTATAATTTTATTTATGCTTGTATCGTGATTTTTGTTTGCATTATAACTCTTATGTATTAGGTAAAGATTTAAAATGTTCAAGTTCACCATGTAATTTTTACTTATGCATGTTGAACGTTTTTTGTTTTGCAGGTTTTCGAGTTCTTTAACGTTTATATATCAAGTCATGAAAATTTGAACTTTTCAAGTTTGGGTTGTGGGAATTTTTTATTATGATCTAAGGTAAGAATTTTATGCAAGTTTGTTTTGTAATTTAAAATGTATTAGAATGTTATGTATGTTTGTATCATGATTTTGATTGAATTATATTTTTAAGTATGTTCTTATCGTAAGTTTAGTCGTATTATAATTTTATGTATGTTCATGTTATGATTTTGATTGCATTATAATTTTATCTATTGGGTTATAAAGATTTGAAGTCTTTAAGTTTGGTATGTGATTTTTTACATATCGTATGGTTGGTCCGGTCCATTCACTATTGTGTTTTTAAAGTCAAGGTATGTGTTGAAGATGAAAAATAGTATATGTACGTAATCCTTTGAAGGAGACATATCTTTATGTGGAGTATTTTTTATTCTTAAATTTGTGTCAGATTCCTTAATATTTCCGTCGTTATTATTACTCATTTTATTTAGTTTTACAATTTTATTACTAAACAAATCTCTCTCTCAATATATATATATGTGTGTATATTAAAATTTCACTAACTATATTGTATTTAACTTTTTCGAATTATTTGAATATGATTTGTTGATGATTCTATTAACAATTAATTTATATTTATATAAACAATCATCAGATCATTAATCAAAACATTCATACTACCGCGTAACGCGCGGTTCCCATACTAGTTATTTTTATGAATAAAAATAAAATTAGTCGACCTCAAATATCCTAATTAATTAGTAAATTTTCCAAAACTATAACTAATAATTAAATTAAATATTATGTTAAAATCATTTAACACAATTTTATTATCTATAAAACAAAATAAATATACCTTTAATTTTTATTTTTATTTATATAAACATTATTAGGATGTTTGTATTTGTTTTTCAATAACTAAATATATTGGATAATAATTAAAAATAATAAAATAAAATAAAATAATTGGTATGATTTTTTTTTATTAACCTGGATATCCAACCCGTTATATGAGCCGACTAATCTCAGGACAACCACCTGTTTTGCAGGTAGCTCGGAGTCACCGTATTTGAACCTCTGTGACCACAAGAGGATTTTTGTTTCTTCTTGGATTTGAATCTGGGACCTCCAGACACTTTTGACCTTTGGAGTCAAGTTCAAACCAATCAAGCAACACCCTTGTGGTTAATAATTGGTATAATTAATAGTTAAATCTAAATAATTAATAATTAATAATAATGAATATTTAAAATTTAATTAATAATTTTCAATTAATACTAATTACTATTTATTAATATCTATTAATAGTAGTAATAATTAATTAATTTTATTTATTAATAATTAATTTTGTATTAATAATTATTTATAATTAATAATAATAAACAATAATTAATATTAATAAGGGTTGTAATTGAAAAAATTGACCAAAAAAAATTCCTCATAAGCTACTCCAACTAGCATTTCAATAAATTAACTTATGTTGATAACTGAACCAGATTTTATGGAATGAAGGTGAAACACACTTTTTCCATTCTTTTTTATATTTGTTCCATATAAAAGTCTTTTCAAACATTAAACAGTAATCCATGTTCTATTATGTCTTATCCAATGTACCAAACACATAAATAATTCAAAATGCATCTCATACAACATTTATTGAGATACAGTTGTCAAAGTCTTGTGCTAATTGTTAACAAATCCTATCAAAATGTCATTTTTACCCTCTACCGAATACAATCATTCACTTGGAACATAGAAATCAAATTTGACATCCACAGAACCAGAAGTTGCACCGGTGTCCTTATATTCGATGTTCACGATCGTCCCCTCCTCATCTTCCTCTTGGTATTCCGCCCGTACCCGCCGCACCGGCACGGTGACGGAATAAATAGTTCCGAGGGCGGAATCCGTCGAGATGCTGAGCTGGACTTTATCTTGCGGTTCTATCACCACGAAGTCCGAAAGCGCGGTGACCACATTGCTGACTATCTTCTGTTTCGCTTCATCGCTGACTGCACATCTGTCGGAAAATAGAATCATCTTTAGCCTTTGTTTTGCTATGTTGGCATTCGAGTTTTGTATCATCGATGGAGATGGGAACACGATCTTCCAAGCCATGGCTAGACGTTCGAGAAAGCTCATGTTTATGGCGTTAAACAGAAAGCTTTCGTGGTTGTGGGCGATGGTGCTGGTGGACGTTTCGTAATCGCTGATGATTCCAACACGTTGATTGGAGCGACAACGTGTGTTTTGGGAATGGGTTAATGAAGTTGACCATTTGGGCATGGTTTCAGAACTAGCAGATACACCTTTTGCGAAATTACTAAAACCAACCTGCATTCGGGAACGACATCCGTCTAAGAAATAGAATTGAAAAACAAACAAAAAACCGCTAATTCTGCTTAAGATGCAACACAAGTGTGAGAGAGAAGCGGTATCGGGTTTAAAATTTTGGTATTCTCGGTCTGAATGTTGAACTTCTAAGGCTACAATTTTCTTACATACGATATACAAAAGAATTATCAGCTAGTTTTTACCAAACATAACTACGTTTTTTAACTATGACAAGTCCTACTAACGGTCTTTTGTTAACAACTACAAGAAAAACCTTTATAATCGGTAAACACGAGTATCCTATGGAGATTGGAGACCAAACCAAACCAAACAAAACTAGTATATCCCACCAGGAGGTTGGGGGGGGGGGGGTAAAAGATGGTTGTTTCCGAGTATCCTATGCAGAATGTGGATGAAAATCCAGACAACCGAAGAAGGCAGCCCACCTGGGTGGCGTAAAACATGGATAATCTAGTAAAAGATGCTTACCCCAACACTATCGATTCTCTTGAACCTAAACGGGTGTTTGGTTAACAGAACGGGATTTGGAATGCGTCAAAGGAATTGGAATGGTATTCCATGAAGTTTGGCATCGCATTTGGTTGGCAAGAATTGAAATCGAATCTCTCAAAGGAAATCAGATTTGAGATAATCCAAGAACGACAAATCTGGAGTTCGGGCAAAATCCAAGATCACAAACACATAATACCTTGCTTGTTTATGTTCCTTTAGGGTCAAAAATTCGGCAGAGTAACGGTATACACAAAGATCATTTCTTTGCAATCATCGAATGAATCTTTATATAGCCACCGGCGGTTAAGTCGGTTATTTTTGGTGGGAAGTCGTGTCTGTTCCCAACAGACGCGACTGTTCGGGACCGTCATCGGACATCGGGAGCTCTGCCCCTTGGACTCGTCCAGGGGAGATGCCCCTGGACCCTGCGTTCCCGAGATCAACTTAACTTATCCAAGCGTGTGCTCTGCACCTCCGGGCTCGAATATAGCTGTCTAATTTCGGCTTGTCTCACGTTAATCTCTTTTATTACTAAAATGGCTTATGACACTAAACATCACCAACGTGATTGCGTTTCTTCAACGACCATACACAGATGTGACCTAATTTCTCTTCATAATTACAACTTACATGTAGATCGAAAGAGTGAATGAGTTTTCTAACCATCATTCTTTAGCTCGATTGCAAACTAATCAATGCGAGCATGGTCGATTTTAGGCAAATTCCGATGGTTATATGAAATTTGCATACAGAAAACTGAAAGTTTATGGGGGATTTAAAGATCAGACCTTATGTGGAGGCGGTGAAATGGTACGGCGAAGGTTCGTTGGAGAAGGGCGTAATGCGGCATACACCGTTAAATCTCCTGCAATTGCCATTCTCAAGTCTCTTGTTTCTCCGATTAGGGCTTCGTGAAACTTGCTCTTGATTTTAGGGTTTGTTAACCGGCTCTGCTACCTGCAGGTACTTCCACAACGGCTTCCTGAAACTCTGGCTCGGCTTATTGCGACTGCTTTTAGCAGATTACCTTTTACGACGTCGTAGCACGTATCCTTAGCAGCAAAGCATATTTTTCTTACTTAACCTTGCATTATGGATTTTATTCAATGAAACCCCTCACGCTTCATTTCATTTGCATTTTGTTGAATTTTTTTTTATTACTTCATATGTCTCAAAATAAATGTAATGTTTCATTCATCCCAAAATAAATGTCCACAATAAAAAAAAATCATATAATTTTAAAGGTAAAGTACATAAAAAAATAACGTACTTTAACTTGATTCATTCGATTTACTGGTTTGGTTATTTTAAAGGATTCGATTTGACGAATATACATTTCGTATATGTTCATACACGAAGGACTATTTCTATCATAAGAAGAAAAACAGATAAATATATCAAATAAAATACACTTTTAAATCAATCTCTCCATTTGTAACACGAGCATATAAATGAAATGGGTGTTATAGGATGTGACAATTTTAAATGGGCCATTAGATATATTTGCATCTATAGTTTCGATCATAATCATCGCAACTCTTTCATACCTATTAGTATATCTTATGATACATTTACATCATAACTCTTTAAGTACAACTTTTAAAGCATGTGGTGGAGCGTTGCTAAACATCTTTTACCTATTAAGTGGTTGTCGGTTAAGAGTCTTCTCCTTTATTTATCGTGTAAATTTTTAGTCCTTGCTATGCCTCTTATCAGGTAAGATTACCAGCCTTTCCATGCTCACTCGGTAATATACATGACACCCGATGCATCTTGGGTTATGATTTATGAGTTCTCGTTGTTACTTTCAGTCGCTTTAAGTGGAGATTGTTGGAGTATGGTGCAGTTGATCTAGAGGCAGTGAGGTCTGATTTTTCGTCATTTCTGTTGAATAGGATGGTGGTTTCTATTTCCGTTTGTATAAGATAGTTTTTCTCAAATGTATTCACTGAGTATCTGTTCATTCTTTCATTTTAATTATTTGGGACAACATAATCGATTTTCCTGTTTGTGTACCATGAAGTTCGCCTCGACTAAATTTAATTGCCTCATATTGCATTGCACAAGTACATAACTAGTATATGATAACAAATATAACCATTATTAATTGTTTTAAGTTTTTAATGATGTAATAGTTGACTGTATGGCTTATTAATTAATACGTACCGAAGTTTTTATAATTGTGCATGCAACACAATAAAATTTATAAATATTATATTATATATTTTTAAACGATAAATCCGAGACTGTAGACGAGGAGTCAAGGACTCGAGGAAGAAGATCACGCGATTCAAAAGGTGAGACTTGAGAGCCGATAGGGTAGCTGATAGAGATGCCTAGGGGGATTGGGAATTCGTGATTCCTAAGAAGACTGGCGGATTTTTGTTCTGGGAATTTGCAATCGTGATTTTGTATAATACTAAATTACATCATAGATTGGACATAAGGAGACAATTAGACTGTATTACACACTTCTATCATATGAATTTTTTAACAGACAATAGTTTTATCGGCCAGACAGGTTGATTTAGTTTAACATCGACCTAATCCATGACCGACCTATTCTTATTTGTCCGTATACTTCATAAACCAATAAAACCTCAGTTTAGATTATTCGGTCTAATTTTCAGGTTGGGTTAGATTCCACCTCGTGATAGGTTTTTGTGAACCCTACCCAGTTGACTTGTCCTATGATCTCAAAATTAATGAGAAATTGACAGAAATAAACAATCATCAAATAGAGTTTCACTTTTTAATTATTTTCAGAATCAAATGCACTTTTTTTTTATATGGAGGGGGGAGACCCTTCCTATCAAGCAAAAAAAAAAAAAAAAAAAACCAAAAATACAAGACAAATACGTACTCGGATGGGGTGAACCACATCCACCAAAAAAACAAAAAACGCAAGAGAAATTCACTTTTAAACGATGCTTTATACAATGTTTCTTTAAGGGGTGTTTGAGATTGTTTATTTGAAACAACTTATATTTTTCTACAAAAACACTCATCAACTTATTATCGGTCAGAAGGGTTTAACTTATTCAAAAACTTCTTATTACCGGTTTGATACCGATATAAGTTATTTATCCAAACACTCAAAAATGTTTATTACCGATACCACACCAAAATAAATCAATAAGTTATTTTTATAAGCGAATCCCAAACATACCGTTAAATTTTCCCAAAATTAACCCTGCCCATTTCCGTCCATACAACATAAACCATGCTTTCAACATCCGTGATTGATTCATCCATGAACTTTCTTTACCGAGTGCGGCGGCTGTTCTAACGCGACCAGGTTCCCCAAAAATGGAGAAATCAATCACCCAAACTCCCAACATTCAATCAACACCCAAATAAGACAACAAATCAAATTCAATCGGAGAACTACCACTCGGTAGTTCCAGTGAATGGGGAGATGGAGAACCTCTCTTTTTCTCTCAAGATTCGCCGCCGATTCCTTTTCTCGAAAAACCCATGTTTTTCAACCTAATTTTGTTTTCCGCCGTCTCATTACACCTCTATACCCCAATCCCTCGCCTACTTCGCTAACACCCACCACTAATTTTGGTACTTTTAGGCACTTTTCTGCTTTCTCGAATGCAGCAAGCCCCATTTTCGATCATGTTAATTATGATGATGAACAGAAATATGCAGAAGAATTGTTTTTGCACGATGAAGATGATGAAGAGTTGGGGAAGATCTCCGTCAGAGCTATCTTTCTCTGTACCAGGTTCCAGTTTCTTCATCATATCTATGAATAAGACTATTTGGTTACTATGCTTGCATTCTTTATTGGGATTTATCTTATTGACAGCAGTATGTAATCCCTAGTATACTGTTATCTGATGTGAAAACTTGTTACCCACAACACTATTTCTGTGGGAGTACTTTATTGTGTATAGTTATTCTTTCTCTGCTAAGCATCCATCTGCTTTGTAATTTTTAGACTTGAAAACGTTATGAACAAGGACCCCTGTTAACATTATGTTTTTGTGCTTGTTAGAGTTCATGTGGAACAGTCTAAAGTAAGAGCCAATGTTCTCAAACTTTATGCATCCAATTTTGATTTTGAAAAGCAGTCCGCTTGGCAATCGAAAAGCAAAGACCACTTTCGAATGGATCTTGGCGATCTGAAGCTTCCTTGAGCTTACATAACGATATGCTATGGAAATAGAAAGCTGGTGGTTACAAGCAAAAGAGATGTTTATGAAGAGATGCTATTGTAGATTCACAGCACAATCTTGTGCATGCAACATCCTGCTTCATATATGCTTAAAAAGAGTAGATAAGTAGGTGCAAGAACCCTTAACCCTTTTATAGATGACATCTTGTGATTGATGATGGTCTTTACTCTAGTTTAGTAACAAAAAGCTGTATTGGTACTGTCCCCATATGGGTTTGATTTGTAGTATTTAGTTGTGGTTAACTGGTTATGTCGCTAAGCTATGTCATTTGCCTGATCCTCAAATCTGCAGAGGGAGACAACGAAAACAAAACCATGTATTTTAAACAATCTTTGATTGGCTAATGAAACCAAAAGAAATTATAGAACGGTGAAACCCAAAAGCAAGCATAGATAGGTGAACCTGCCCGGGATTCTTTGGTTAAATGACCTTAAATGAGTTTTCAGTTCGAGCATGACCTTCTAATATCATGTTTCTAAATCAATCTCGCACACTAAGAAGATTGTAGAGATTTTGTAGTAATGATTACTTAATCATTTAACTTTTTGCTTTACTTCCTTGTTAGCCGAGAAACATGTTATTGTCTTCTATTAGCCATTACTACTAAGCCCATGAATTATGACTGTTGAACTTCACTCGGTATTTCTTCAATGTAGTAATTAATACATATATACCGAAAGTTTTGGTTTAGTTAATGATCCTCGTATGTTATGTTTTGCATGCTGATATTGTGGGAGCTTAATCCCTCAGTCTCATATTTGCTTCTTGTTGTTTTGTTCTTTATGGTTTGGTTTCTCAGATATATGGTTTTGGCAGCGTCGATTTGAAGAGCTTGCAAGTCGAGATTTCAAGCCATGTTGTTCCTCCTACCTCCCGCTCAATAAATCATATTGCCCTTAGATTTTGCAATATCAATTCAGATTATACGGTAAGAAGGATTGAAAGCACTTTACAATCTATCACCCTGCTGATTTTTTCCTAAAGACTAATAAATTTTCTTTGGTTTTCATTCAATTTGTATCCTGGGCCTCCCTTAATCATTAAGAGCCCTAATTTCATTGTAAACAATTACCAAAATAATTATATTTCTTTTTGCACTATATCATGAGAGCCTCTTACTCATTCTGACCACTTAATGATTCTGCACAAAACCATTCTGCAACTGCCAAACATCCCCTTACTGATCTTTTACTTAAGTCGTCTTCTCCTACTCTGTTGTTGCTTGTAGTTCTCATTCGTCTTCTCCATTCTCCCACTTGGATGGAGAGATTACTTTCTAAATTCAAATTCGTTATGGATTGTGTCACAAGTTTAAGTTTGTAGTACACTAGTACTATAGAGAGGTTGCTTCCATCATATAGTTAAAGAAAATATGTAACTAAATGTCTAAATTGCCTAAACCTTTAGTACAACTTTTGACTAAACACATAGTTTTAACAAAAGTGTAACTATTAGTCAAATATCTAATAATATCCCTCAATGATGACGAATTTGGGAAGCCTTGTGGATCACTGTAAGTATAACAAAAAGGAGGTTTTTTACTGCAGGAGGTCGGTGTTGAAGAAAGCCCTAGCTGTCCCAGTTACATGGTCGTGTTCCAGTACGGATCTGCTGTCTTGTTCAACGTGGAGGATCATGAGGTCGAGTCTTACCTTGACCTTATACGAAGACATGCTTCTGGATTACTTCAAGAGACGAGAAAAGATGGTTTGTTAGTTAACTTTCTTCAGCGACATTTTCAAGCACTTTTTGCCCATTAAACTTTTGTGTGCTTGTGTAAACAGATTATGTCGTCAAGGAAAAACCATTGTTAAGTGAGGATATGCAGGGGGGACCAGATTACATTGTTCTGAAAAACCTTGATATCGATAGTATACGTATTATTAGTAGCGTGCTTGGTCAAAGTATCGCATTGGATTATTTCGTTTCACAGGTATTACCTTTTTCTTTTTTCAAAATGAGAAATAGTAGAGGCAACCCTGGAGTGGTCTTTAAAGGGTCCGTTTGGTATGCAGATGGGACTGGACAGGTCAGGACTGGATGGGAAAGAATGAGGTAGGCGAGTGAATGAATTGTGGAAGGTTTTAGGGTTTTAATTTGACATGGGTATCTTAGTAATTTATCAATCTTTCCCCATCGTCCCGAGTATTGTCCCACTCGGTCCTTGCCTGTATAATGTTGCGCCAAACACGAGACAACAAGTTTTCGTACTGGCATGTCCCGTCTAGTTCCACATACCAAACACATTATGGAAACAATCGCTCTACTCTTTGGGGTAGAGACATGTCTGTGTACATCCCACCGGACCCACCCATCCTCAACCCTGCTTTCAAGTGGGATATAGTGGATTCGTTTGGTTTGGTATTAGAGGTGCCTTGGAGGACAAATAGTAAGGTTCCTCCTTGGTGACCGGAAGGCCATGGTTCAAGCCAACACAAATGGCCTCTTTCAAACACTTTATCTTACATGTTTTCCTTTTATAAAGGTTGATGGCATGGTTGAAGAATTTACGGATATCAATCGTGTAATGGAGAAAACGGGCACGTTTACAATGGATAGGAAGAAGCTCTTCCAACTTGTCGGAAAGGCTAATTCAAATCTAGCTGACGTGATTCTTAAAGTAGGACTTTTTGACAGGTAATCAGTTGTTGAGTTAACAAATTCGTTATCAGCCAGACCCCACTCTGTGTGGGATTCACTAGGTTTGTTTTGTCTGGTGTACAAAGAAAGTAAAAAAACGATGTAAATGAAGTAGAAACGTTGAAAAAAACCCGTCTTATTTAAATTACAGATCAGAGATTGCCTGGAGAGAGGCGAAATATGCTCAAATATACGAGTACCTTCGCGAGGAGTATGAAGTCACCCAACGCTTTGGAAATCTTGATTACAAACTGAAGTTTGTGGAGGTAGTTTTCTGGCTTTTTAGCATTCGTTTATTGCTGAGTTTCTTGTGTTCTTGATCTATCGAACATATTGTATGATCATCTTCATCGTTTGTTCCTTTTACAGCATAATATTCATTTTCTACAAGAAGCCCTCCAAAACCGGAAGTCGGATCTCTTGGAATGGTGCATTATAGTGTTGTTGAGCATCGAGAACGTTATAGGAATATATGAAATCATTCAGGAAACGAACATAGTCGTGATGTGATGGATATATTGATAAAAGATAGATTTTATTTTACATACAAACTAAATACCAGATTGATTTTGGACCCAAAGAATGTGTGTATACTTGAATGCCATCAACTTTGAAATTATGCATGACCATTTACAAACCCAATGATCGTACAAACTAGTTTTCATGCGTTAACACGTGAAAAATGCAGTGTTTATACCATGTTGTTTCATATTCAGAACTATTTTGTGCATGGATATAAAGTAGTCCTAATCGTTTCACATGTGAAACAACATTGTAAAACCACACATGTTTCAGATATAAAAACCATGTTTCTAAATCTTTTCGAGCAATTGAACTACAAAATTTACCGATGCAATACTACACAAAAGGCTCTAATTAAGGATCGTTCTAATCTCAAAATTCTTCGACTCTAATCGCATCGCAAGCCATTTCATAAGCATCTCTAGGCCTCGATCTTTTAATTCCAGCCGTGAACCATACCTTATCGGATTTATACCCTTCGACTGCCACATTCGTGACCTTGATCCATACCAACACCTTCGTTTTCATTCCTTCAATACCAGTCAACTTTCCCCTCATCAAAATGCATTTGACCCGAGTGGCATATCTTATGACGGATGAGTCCTTGAAGGTTACCTCACAAGTGGAGGGCAAGTGCACCACGAGTTTTGCCTTGGTCTCGTCGAATTCATAAGAAATTACGTTGTTAGGGAAAAGACCCGGTGGTAAGTTGTAGTCACGGAGCAGTTCAGGCAATGATTTCACCGGCTTTCCTGTGATTCATAATAATCATGTCAGTCAAGCCATTGCAAATGCATAAAGGGCAACTGAAACAAAGTTCCAAAATTTCCTATTTTGTACCCATTTTGACCTTTAACTTGCTGAACTTGTAACATTTGATGACATGAATACCCGTTTACAAAAAGATCACAACAAATTGGACAATACACTTGATCTTCTGGTCATCAAATGTTACAAGTTCAACAGGTTACTGATCAAAATAGATAAAAAAAATAAATTGAAACTAAATGGTTTTTGGAGTTGGCTCATCCTTATGTTCCACTCAAAAGTAGGGTCCGGTGGGTGAGATGTATGCAGACATGACCTCATCCATAACAAGTAGACTGACCATCCGTGAATACTAAATGGTTTCAATGGCGAATAACACTAACGATTTGGATCTTGTACCTTTTAGTTTGTTAAAAATCCATTTTGCCTTCTCTTCAACTGTACTTGAGAAAGTCTGCAAGAATTGAACATTGTGACTTGTGAGTGAAATAAAAGAAAGTTGTAAAATTTCTCGAGTAGAATCAATCATTTCCAAGTGATATCGTTTTCTGGGTTTCGTATATATGAAAAGTCTGATTGTCGATCACATTTACCTGATGTACATTAACCTATTGATGAGATAAAATCCCTTGAAATCTAAGGGCTTGTTTGGTTAGCGGGATTTGATGGGATTTGGAATTGGATTCCATTCCAATCCTGCATTTGGTTTATATGAAAGTTCCAGAACTGAAATCGCACAAACATTGGATTTAGAAATTCCATCGGGTAGTTGGTATTCAACGGGATTTTATAGAATTTGCTTGTAATAATGTTTTAAAATATCTACACACCATACAACCGAAAGATTCCAAACCCTTCCACGAAATCCAATCCCTCAAAAACATTCCGTCAAACCAAAATGGCCCTAAGATCAATGATTCAATTGAATCTTGAGCTTGAAAAATATCCATCATCTATTCTCTTGAAAGATGTGTCCTTTCTAACACCTGATCAAGAGCTTTGATACAGAACTCATTTCAGCTACAGATAAGCAAGTCATTCTCACAAACATGAACAGCAAACAGTCATCATCAATAACTTTCTGATACCCACTTTATATTTCTTGAAAAACATCAATCCGTTATCAATTGGCTGCCAAATAATGAAACAGAACTGACTTAAAAGGAAGAAATAAGCAAGTCAAAAAAGCAACCCACATTTTCCACCATTACCAAAATCAAGAAATCAACCAGAAAGCACAATAAAATTACAGAATCTACAGATTTTATTGAAAACAGAAACCTCTAGCAAGCAAATTTCCTGGTTAACAACAAAACCCCCAAGTGGGTAAGATTCAATCAACCTACATTTAAACGATTATCGATGATAAAAGCATAGAATTGGGTAAGATTGAACATACATTTAGGTCATCGGTGATGTTTGAGAACTCTTTTTTAGCTTTCTTTGAGATCCAATAGCTTCCTGCTTTCGCTTTGATGCTTCCAACTTTCACCATTGCTTTCTCCATTTCCCCCCTTCACTCTCTCACCCCTTTACCCACTCGATGTGTAAAATTGTGTGCAATTTCTGTGAAGAAGATAGGGTTTGTTCTATTGACGAGATGAAAAGGGCGAAAAACAAGGGGAAAACAAACATACCACCGATTCCATGCGAGTAACATGCCGCTCTACATCAAAAGGAGAATTGGGGTTCACGCTTTTCAATAGTGTGATTAGAATTTGTGTTTACATTTTGAAATTTGTGTATTTTTCCTATCTACATACATACAACATAGGGATATTTGTATGTATGTATAGGGTTGTCATTACATACCGTTGTTGTTTGTGCGTTGGTTTTTTGAAGGAGGGGTAATTTCGTCATTTGGTTTTTGCATTAGGGCACAATAAGATACCTTACATTAGGAGTATAAATAATACGAGACAACTCACGAGCTATTCGAAATCGACTCGGTTAAAGCTCGGTCAACACTACACTCGAATAAGCTCGGCTCGAACTCGAGCTCGACTCGACATATTAACGAGTCGAGTCAAGTTATCCAAAACTCGACTCGAAAAACTCGTGAGATACTCGATTATCTTATATATAATTAGTTTTAAATTATGATAAGTTTTTATGATAAAATTTGTAAAATATAAATAATAAAAATGTCTTATATTTTTAGATATTTAAACAAAATTATGCATTTTTTAATTAACAATTAATCAATTACTTTTTATTAAAATCATAATTAAAAAAGAAAAACTATAAAAAGGGTTAGTGAAATTGTCCCACATTGGAAGAAAGTTTGTAAAAGAAGGGAGAAAAAAGGTTACAAAAAGAGAGGAAAGTGAATGAAATTTCTAACTTTGTCTTTTTTATGATAAAGTTTGAAGTTGATCCCTTTAGTTTTATAAAAACAAAGAGAACACATTTAAGTTTTAAATTTTATAAGAGAAAAAACCAAAAATTTCATAAATTTCAATGAGTGTGTTTGATTTGAGTTTGAGTTCAAGCTTGATTTGAGCTTGTTTACATCTTGTTTCGAGTTTGAGCTTGATTTGAGTTCAAGTTCGAGCTTTAGAAATAGTTATCGAGTTCGGGTCGAGCTTTGATTTTTACTACTTACGAGTTTTCGAGTCGAGTTTGAGCTTGGAAATCAGTTTCGAGTTCGAGTCGAGTATAGTGATACTCAAGCTCGACTCGCATCATTTACATCCCTACCTTACATGATAGTTTCCATGTTAAGATATGTGATGTGTTCACATATCTAAGTATGTTAACATTCTTTGTTTTCCATGTTTAGGTTTCTTAATGTTCATTATTTTTATATTTTAATGTATGTTAAGGACTTAAGGTTACATGTTGTACGTGTTTGTTACGGCTGGTTAATGTATCTTAAGTTTCAGTATTTTCATGTTAAGGTACGTTAAAACTGCCATGTTAAAGATATATCACGGTGTCTAAGGCATTATTAAGTTATGTTAAGCTTTGTGCCCTCGTAAATCAATCCCCCGAACTTCCATTTAGCAAACATCCTACTGCGATGTCTTTTAGAAGCATCAGATCAACTATCAGGTGGCAAGTATCATCCAAAGGCCACAAAAGAATTTCTACAGTTCTCATTCAGAAGAAAAGGGTTCCTACACGACCCCAGTTCTATATTTATATGCGTACATAGGGCGGATTTAATCTTCGGGTTGCTGGGGTGTTGTGTCTACTTACCTTCACAATGTGAATGAAGAAAGAGGCTAAATTTACAAAATAACAACTTATTTTCATAAATTCTCTTATGATAGTATTGTGCCTTCATTTTTCTTATTACAACAATGTACTTTTTCAAATTATTTTTTATTCATACATTGTACTTTGAAAAATCTACCTATTATAACAATTGTAACCTTTTGATTTAAATTTTGATGACATGGTATAAGTTAGGAGGTTACCATGCTGACATGACAAACAATATAACATTCAAGTCATTATCATTTGTTGATATGGCCGATGACATGGATTTTATGTAAAACTAATTATAAAATATATTTTTTTATTTTTTACTGAAGTTTTTATAATATTAAAAAAATCCATTAGTCAATCGATAATATGCAAAACTGGTGTTGTGGTTTTTTTTTCCTGTTAATGGTTGGAGACATTCTAGAACAAAACAACTTCTTTGGGAACCTTTCTGATGCCCCAGAGCCCAAGGTATCAGATTCGGCCAATAATCTCTAAATCAACTTAAAACTACGATGAAAGTTATTGATAGCCTACAACTTTGAATTTATAAAGAATTCACATATCTACTTTTTTATACATGTGAAATGGGCTGTTACAAACTCCCCACTTAAATTTTTGACGTCATCATCAAGCCTTCCAAAATCCTCCTTGTAATCGGTGATGTTTGCCTAAGATGTTAAACCCTCCCCTCCCCTCCCCTCCGCTCCGACTCAAGGACTCATCATGCTCAAAGAGGTTTCCTTACGCCCACATAGCCCAAAGCAACATATTGGTCCAATAACCTCCAAATCAACTTAAAACAATTGTGGAAATTATATGTAGCCCACAAAATTAAACTTACAAGAAACTTATGAACCTACTTTTCTATCTACATGGGACGGGTTTGTTAGAACCTTAGTGTAGGATGTGACATCTGGTTGTCCAATTGGATGCCTCGAAATTTGAACTTGGGTTGGAACTCTTCCACAAGATACAAGCCTTTCTCATGCCCTTTATTCCAACTCATTTTGTATTTCGATAGAGGCAAGACGTGCATGGTGTCCACTAAAAGCGGTGTCAAGGTCAAAACCAAAATTATATCCACCATGCAGCTTGAGGAAGAGGTAAAAGGTCCCGACACCAAATAGAACCACAAGACCGAGACTTTAGCCAAACACTGAGAGTCCAGGGAAGAGCACCAGGTAGGCGAGAATGTCATGTTCTGCACGAAGGTTTCCAAGAAGTTGGATAATTACAGATCCTTCGGGATATAGGGGAATGTCGAAGAGATATCAAGAAGTCTTTCCATGATTTATCTCCACTTAGGGGTTGTGTGCCTAAACAGTTACACAGTAATCGTTTATCAGTAATATTCAAACACTATCATTTACCTTATCGGGTAAGATTGCAACAATTTATCCGTAAACGCTAACTAAATAAGAGTTATCACCTTTATTTATTGAATAAGACCTTTCAAACCTTGTCATTCTTGTTATCATGTAAGAATCTTGATATTTACCATGTTTATAGAGTAAAAAATATAACTACAAGGTGCTGTCTGATTGATTTGAGCTTGGTTCCAAAGGTTAAAAGTACCTGGAGGTCACAAGTTCAAATCCAAAAAGAATTAAAAATCCTTTTGCAACCATGGAGGTTCAAATACAATGACTTCGAACGATCTGCAAAACTGGTGTGCATATTCAGGTTAATAAAAAAGTGAATTAGGATTCGTCAACGACTTCGGTCCCTAGCTTTTCTTATCAGTCTCTGACCAGTTTGGGCTTCAAGCTCGTTTCAATATCTCTACACTTCCGACACCTTTTCGCTGTAGATTTTTGCTTCATTTCAATGGCGTCCCATACCTCTGTAATGGTCTTTAGAATCGCTCCTAGATTTGAGCGTCAGATTAGAGCCTGAAATTCTAAGCTCGTCAAACGTTTCGACCTGCAGACCTCCGCAAATAATCCGTCAGGTGAATAAGAAAAAAAGCCCTAATTTTCAGCTCGAGTTTACTTCATCTACAAGTGTTGTCAACTTAATCTCTTGCTCTGTGGATCTTAATTACTTGTATACTTGCTTTATTTTGATGTTCTGTTCAATGTAATTACATCTGCGTAGTGTGGGTACTTGCTTGATTCGATTAAGAATCAATTGATAGGTCTATTTTAGTCGTTTGAAATTTGGAGCACCAATTAGATGGTTATTATGCGAAATTGCGAAGAGGTGGAAGGTGAACTGGTGAAGGTTTGGGTTTGAAATTAGGTTCGATTACAAAATTTTGTTCTGTTACTTTCATTTACTGCATCTTGGAGATCAAGTAGTTAGGGTGCACGGTAGCTGACTGTCTCAGGTTCAAATCCTTTCCCGATTATAGATTTAGAATCAAAATTTTGAAGGATCTAAATAAACAGTCTTGATTTTGTGGGAGGTAGAAGAAAGGAAATTTTGAGAGTTAGCTTTATCAGATCATAATGTGCCTGTTATTTTAGGAAAATGTAAGATGAATTCATCTTCATCGCCTTGAATTTGAAACATAAAATGCAAATTTTGCATCATGAAATTGTGATGAATGAGGATCTTACACGGGACTCTTCGTGGAATAGGGTTAACAGATTCAATTTCTTATCTTATTTGGTTATCATGTCATGTAACTACAACATAGTTCGATTGGTGATGTTATCTTGCATAATCGATGTAAAATGTCGAAGAACCACTGTATTATCTTTCATCTTTGCTAAATGCATAATTTGATAAAAGAATGTGTCTGAATTTGCACAAACCAGGGGTCTTCACGGAAACAACCACTCTGTCCTTTAGGACAAAGGTCAATTCTTCTTACATCTCACCTCCACCCTGGATATGCTGGGATTTTTTTGGTTTGGTTCGGTTTGGTTTAATGTGCTTGAATTTGATAGATTGTGTAGCAAAGATGGATGAAGAGATGATGACGCTGCATAATGTGATGCCCGTGAAGCTTGCTATAAAGAGGGAAATGGAGTATCGAAGTAAAATGGAGGTCTTGAGAAACCGCCGGTTTAATAACTTAAATCCTTTGCTTCCTTCCCAGGTGAGATCGCATGCAAATTTCGTTTTAACATGAACTAGTCTTCAAACCATTAGCATTAAGTAATTATATGGGCTATGCTCGATCCGTTAGTCTAGCCTTATGAAAGCATTTTCATTCGTCTTGTGGGTTCGATGTTTGTTGCTCCTTGCATCAAACAAACGGGATTCATGATCACATCTTTATGTTTTGCAACGTCATGTAAATGACACATGAGGATTAGAATTGGAGAGTGTTCTGAGCCTATTGACCCTTGATATTGATTTGTGAAGAGGATTTAATGTAGTATCACGAAAACAGCCTCTCTACCCTTGATATTGTTTTAGAAGTATGTAATTATTACACTTTTTAATTAACTAAATGACAATTTTACCATTAATAATAAAGGTAGTAATGAATTTCTTCATCTCATAATTAAGGGTAGAATTGGAAGGTAGACACTTACTTTTCAAAGTGGACACTTACTTTAGGAGAAACTAATTAGAAATGTGGACGCCTATTTTCACATCGAGTATTATTTTGCATAGCATCATTTGAATGGTTTAGTTTTGATTTTAGTCGACCCTACACTAGCCTATACGAGCAGAAACTATACAAGCCAACCTAAGGCTTGAGCTTTTGGCGAGCCAGGAGCACAAGCCTGAGTTTCTCAAGCTCGGTTGGCCACAAACAACTCCAACCCTTACCAGCTCCCAGATCCGCTCAAATACACCTGTAGTTGCACAGCAAAAATTCATTACTACTCTATTATTTAGGGTAAATTGTCATTTAATTGATTAAAAAGTGTAACAATTACACGTTTGTAAAACTGATTTTTTCATTGTGGCCATTTGTTTTGGGACGGAGGGAGTACCAAACAGTGAATCCCATGTGGATTGTGGTCTGGGAAGGGTGGGAAGGTAGAATGTATGCCGACCTTACCTTTATCCCGAGGGGTAGAGAGGCTGTTTTCATGATACTACATTGAATCTTCTTTAAAAACAAGTGTTCATGTTTCTATTTTAATTTACCTCAAAATAAGTGTCCACTTTCGATAGTAAGTGCATACTTTCCAATTATATCCTTAATTATGAGATGGAGAAATTGATTACTCCTCTATTATTAAGGGTAAAATTGTCATTTAGCTAATTAAAAGATGTAATAATTACACATCTCTAAAGCGGTGTGCCTTTCTCATTGTGGACATTTATTTTGGGACGGAGGGAGTAACAGGATTGCCATGCAACTGTAAGAAAATGCGTTTTTTTTGGTAAATCTTACCATCGTTTGATCCTTTCCTTCTCTTTTATCGCTTCACGTTTATACAAGACGGTCAGAACGACCCATAACTACAGATATATATACGTGTAGGTGCAGCCTGCAAATCAAGCAACATTAAAGCGAAAAGAGCCTTCTTCTAGTGGTACAGCGCTAGAAAGACGTTCAACAGGTCTCATTTGCAAGATCTGTCAAATAACCTTTGGTACCGTTCTTCATCTGAAACAACATTCCGAGACCATAAGACACAAAGGCAACATTTTGCAGTTAAAAAAACGGGGCCAAAATGTTAGCACACCGTTTTTATGCGAGCTTTGTAACTCATCTTGCTCTAGCGGCATCGTGATGGAAGATCATCTTAAGGGTACGAAGCATGCCACCGTCCTGCAAGAATTCGAGAACGCTAAAAGGGCGAGAGCCGAAGAGGCGTTTGCTGCAAAACTGTATTGAATGATTGGGGCATCGATTGTTAAAAAGAGTACAACAAAAGTTTCATACGTTCGTGATCGGTAACTTATGATATACGGAAAAGAATGTTTGGTGTGTTGACACAGAGTAAAGTAGTCGCGATCGTGTAAATTAATGTCGTTTTATCATTTTATATGTTGTTTTAACGAGTAGTCGAATGTTGACGATTAGAATGGTATTGATCGTGTATAACTTATTTGTATGGAATCTATTTTACCATTTTAACATTTGTCATATATATGGCACCTCACTTTTTTTACAATTTTACAATTGGTATTTGGATCCTCCAGTGGGATGTAAGCGTAATAAGTTATTCGAGCTCGGTTCGAACAACTTTTTCGAAATAGGGCTTGAGTTCGAGCTCAATTGTTTTAAATTATCGAGCTCGATATTCGTTTACAAGTTCGAAATCGCGATCAATTATCATGTTTATTGGCTCGAGTTCAATAATTTTATTACATGGTTTATGAATATACGAGTGTGTTTCGCTCGAAAAGTCTATACTCGAATGGTTCGGCTCGACTTGAAAAATTTAATCGAGTTTTCGGATGAGTCAAATCAAACATTGATGTTATGAAAGTTAGCTCGTTAAGTTAAACCAGTTCTTTTTTACGTTCCAGAGACTCGAGCTCAATAATTATTAAGTAAACAAGTTATAGCTCAATAATTGTTAAAAAAAATCGAATTATTTACACCCCTTAACCTCCACAATCTTTAAGCAGCAAACCCAAATTCTTTTTTTCCATTCAGTATGTTTGTATATATTTATAGAGTTGGTTTTCAATGAGAATAAAAGTTATAGTGGGAAGAGATTTTTATTATTAGATCAATCCTAATTAAAGATCAATAGTAATGAGATGTATCAATATGCAACAGATCAAATTCTGTATCAAAAGCAATTAATAGGGTGAGGGTGAGATTAAAAGTAATCAAATGTTCAGATCATTTATTACCATCATCTTTTTAACTCCTATTCTCATACGATTTTTTGTGTGTATATATATATATTTATATAAGGAAATAATCAAATGAGAACCACAAAAACATACATTGTTCACATTGTGTGGAGCTATATATGTAAAAATATAGTATTATTTGATAATGTGATTATTTTGAATGTGTATTTTTTTTTTTTTTATATGGTAAATTTTCACATACATTATTCCATAATATAAAACAAGTGGTTATAATCATCCTCGATTTTTTATGATTCTCATTTATTCATATATATATACAACAAATTACCTTTCTCATCTTCACGATATATTTATGATATGTAATATCATATATAAATTCTCTCTTTTTTTTTTACCAGCAACCAAAGACGAAATATCATAATATATAAATTCTCTTAATTTTGTCTTATTAATTGTTGTCTAGAAATATATATATATATATATATATATAGATATAGATATATATGCATATGTATATGTATGTATGTATATATAGAGTTGGGTTCACGTGAGACAAGATTATTTTCGTGAGATAATTTTTTTACACTTGAAACTTCACAACAAAATGTTGCGAATGTAAAAAGAATCTGAATCTTCACAGCAAAAACACTGTGAACGTTACCTTCGGTGTTTTCTTGTGAAGTTTCAAGTGTAAAAAACTTATCTCACGTGTCTCACATGATCCCAAGTATATATATACGTGTGTGTGTGTGTGTGTATATATATATATATATACACACACACATATAACAAATAAGTAACTAGTGTGACACGTGTCATCTTCTGGTGAGCCAATTTTATTGTTTTTCCGCCTAAACACGTATCTAAACACAATTTACATTAGTAGTTTAATTAGGCCTATTTGATTGACACGTGTACTCGTATTCAATCAATCCCGCAAATTTATGATGCAATTGATTTAAATCGTGTCGTAGCTGATTCCCATACAAAACGGGATTTACTTTATTATTAGGTAAAATAACGAATTACTTTATTCTTCCGACTTAGAAGTCTTCTTTTCCAGATATAAAAGTCTGAACTCTGCAGTTTTCAGACTTAGAATTTTCCGGCCTGGTCCGTTATGAAATGAACTTACAATCATATAATCGACTTGATTCAATATTGGGCTAATTTTAAATGTATTAACGAGATGATTATAATGGTGTAATTTGTAATAAAAAAAGAAACATATTTTTATGTATTTTAGTTAATATACGATTATGTTTAGTTAATATTTTGATGAATTAATTATTTGAGTAAAAATAAAATGTACTACCTTCATATTTGATTATGCATGAATCAAATTTCTTCTATCATACTTTTCTCATTTTGTGTTTTACTAAAATGTATTTTGATATCAAATACTTTTATTAAATTTAGATATATAAGAAACATAATTTTAAGGTCGGGTTTCGATTAAAATGAAAGTTGCGATGAGAAGCATAAGAATAGATCTCTACTTCTGATTCAATCTTAATTGAATGTCAACGCTAATGGGTGAGTGAGTGATGGCCAAACCGGCCCGGGACCACCGGAGGACCGGAACTGGGACCAGCCCGGCCTGGGACCGATAAGGACTGGTTATTGGACCGCCGGTTACATCCGGTTATTGTTTTTGTCGGATTTGTGGGATCGGGACCGAACAAGACTAATTATGGGACCGGTTATGGACCGTCCCACAATATTAAAAAAATGACCCTTTTTTTAATTACAACCGTTAACTAGCCGATTTTGACCCCTTTTTTTTGTATTTTTTGGCCTCTAAACAATATAAACATGTAACAAGGTTAAGAGGTTTACATACCAAGTTTTCAATTTTCAAAAAACGTAAAAAAACATTCACAATTCTCGTAATGAATTTGAAAAAGAATCATATTAAGAAGTAATCTCTATCAAAATTAAATTTGTGAGGATCTTGTGTCAAGACCCAGGATATATAGCTGCTTAAGATATCATCTTAACATCTTTTAAAATATGTGATTCTCAGTTTAAAAGCTCCAAAAAAACTGGTTTGATTCAATCTAGAACCAAAATCATTGTTTTCTTTTAATAAAAATATCTCATTTTCCAAATTCAAAATAATGTTTTTATTTTTATATTGTGCAGACTTTGTCATTCATACAACCAATACGACCCCATCTCATCCATTCAAACTTTAATCTATGGTCAGGGGGTTCATATAATACTTTACTTTTTTTCATTTTTTTAAATTGTTAAAGAGTAATGTCAGAAATTCTAAATATAACATAGTTATTGGCTTTTTATTTAAATTTTTATAATAATTATCCATAATTAATGGAATTGCATTCAAAAATATTGAGATATCCTAGTAAATACACGTCACTTGCTTCATCGATTTTTTCTTGTGATGGTATCTTCCTTCAACGATTTTTTTTATGGTGGTTTCGTATTGAGGTTCTTAATTTCTCACTTGCATTTAAAATTAGCATTAATGGATCCATTAAATTCTATCAACGAAGTTTACATGCAAGACGTTTTTGAATCCGAAGATCGGTTTATTCACTTAGGCGACAAAGTCGGTTCTTCAATGCAATCGTTGGTTGTTGCAGGTGATGAAGTTTGCAAGAGTCTTAGAAGACGTTTTGATGAAGTTGGTGTTTGAAATGATGTTGATTCGTGTGATTTACCAAATGCATCCATGTAAAGAAAAATTATAAACACAAATTCCAGATTTCGTACATATTCAACCCCGAATTCAAATTCACTTCAAAATGAATCTTTTACTAATGCATTAAAGGGTTGTTTGGTTCATGGATTTGGATGGAATTGAAAGGAATTGGAATAACCAAATCTTTTGACCAAATTCCAAATATAATGTTTGGTTCATGGAATAAAATTGATGGAATCCTTTCAATTCCACGGCAATACCTTCGGATTTCAATTTCTTTTTGACAAATTCCTTTCCTAATCCAAATTCATTCAACGTTGCATCTATCATCTCATCTAATTGATCTCTGGTTCGATCTCCATATGGTACGCTCTCTCTCTCGCGTAATTTCTCCATCCATACGAGATCGATAGACAACATATGTAATCAAGGAATCAATTCAAGATAACTAGCTATCGATATCACTATTCCAATTTCGTTATTCAAAAATCATAAAAGATCATTTGTTGATATTTAATTCCGATTCCAAAGTTGAATTCCGTGAACCAAACAAAAAAATTCCAACCCGTTAAGAATTTCATTCTAATTCCATGCAACCAAATGCAATCATAAGGCATGGTCAAATTTCATTCCCTCAAAGTCAAATTCATTTGATGAATTCCAATTCCATCGAATTTCATACCAAACGTCCCCTAAGATTATAACAATGCATTTAGATTCAAAAATGATTAAACAATGAAACAAGATTCACTCCATAAAAACAATAATGCAATTAGATTCATTACTACAAACACAATAATGCAATTAGATTCATTACTATAAACACAATGAAACAAGATTCATGCAATAAGGGTGAAGACATTGCTCCTGTTAGGAGAGAAGAGAAGAGACCATCACTAGAAATAATCGATAAAGGAAGAGACCATCTCTGGAAAAAAAAAATTGATGCAACATTCTAGAAAAAATCGATGAACCAAAAATTCCTAAACCTGAGCAAAAACACCCGGACAACTTTACGAGCCTTTAATCTACCTTAAAGGTGTCCCCACTGAACAAAAATTTCTGAACCTGCCACAAATCTAAATTGAAATCAATTTTATATAAAAAAAAATGTTTAAATCGATTCAATTAGTTTTATTCAATCTTTTTTTGGTATGATTTGATTTTAACCTGATGAAGCCTATACATACATGTCATATGTATGTATACGTATACACACATACACCTCTAATATTTTATTTTCATATGAAATGAAGAATCTCGTTACTATTACTGATATTCATCCATAGCTCAAATCGGATATATAATTATTAAAATTTATTTTTGAGTAAGAAATTGTGAGTGGGGTTTTATTAAATACAATCCTCCTGAAAAGATGGCGGACGGTCGGTTGGTCGGATCCGATTGGCAGCCATGGATAGATCAGATGCTATGGGGTCCACCATAAGAGATAGCGTGTGCCAGTGTTTGGCCCCACATCACAAAATGGTACTTTAACCCTGCCTGCCATTTTCGTAATTTTCTATTAATATAAAGGGTTTAATAGTAAATTCAGTTGCAGATTACACCCAAGATTCGCGGACCCGGGATTTGACATGTGGATCCAAGTCTTTTTTTAATTGTCCGTTTTGGTACGGACATGTGGGACC